GAGAGATTCTTTCATTTCTATGGACGATCAAGCCCGACAACCATACAGGAGACTCTGAATACAGGCCTACTGAGTGGGTACATTGCCAAGTTAGACAACATTACAAGCTTCACATGTGTTGTCCTGGGATCTTAGAGATTTTATCCCATACTGATACTTCCCTAGTCAGGTCAAGCCATTCAAGCCTTTCATCCCCCCTCCCTCCCGGAGGCCGTCTAAACAGTGCCATACTGTCTGGGAGGATAAAAAGCTAACTTATACATCGACTAGCCAATGCAATTCGTCGTATTCCCATTCATAACCTCACTGCGAATCTGAATGAATGCGGGGCCCATCCAACGAGGGAGATTGATCAATGTCAAACGATTCTCTCTTTTATTATTCTCCTGTACCCTCTGTCACTTATGTAGGGCTATTACAGCATGTGAAGACAAAGTGAATCCAACTACAAAAGTATCGGATTGCGCAAGAGTGGCATATCTGTGTAATGACGCCCTCTACTACAGACTTATGACGGAGCAATGTCCGAAGACGTGCAATAGATGCCCAGGAGCATCTGTGACAACGACAATGGCGCCGACACCGGCGCCTGTGACGACATGTGAGTTACCTGAATCGTACTGTAGTTAAAGAATCGGTTTTATTGGCGAGGGCTGAGGGTAAAGCTGTAGTCGCCACAGCACCCGCTCAAAAATCTTGAACGGATTCCTATTCAGTCTAGACTAGCCTAGACTTCCAGGAATTCATAAAAGTGTCCCTTTCACAGGTGCCTGTAGAATTCGCGGTGCCCTATGTCCAAAGAGCATTCATATCAACTGTTCTTGAATGTGATTCACCTGGTTTTGCTCTGCGCCTTCTCTACCCTGGGCCTTCTCTACACTGCGGGGATACTTTCGTGATATCAGACCCCTTCCCGTCAGTAACTGACCAAATCGGCGGCTGGATAGCGCGCCCGGGACGGATATCAGGACATTCAGCGGGAAGACACTGAGGGGAAAGCAGCTGGGGAGCTTGATTATTCCGGAAAATCTTCTTGAATGTGGCTGACTAGAACATTCACGATTTTAATGAATTCTTCTATCTGCAGCTTGCCGCGATCTTGTGAATCCACGGACAGGAGTGTCAAATTGTGCAACAGTAGCATATTTGTGTAACAATCCCTACTACTACCAGCTGATGACACAACAATGTCCGAGAACTTGTAACAGATGTCCTTCCACTGTTGCTCCAATAAGTACAAGTATGGTTTGAAATTTTTCTTTCTTAGAAACAATTTCTCAATTCCAGCAAGAGGTAACTATCAAAGTGTTAAGCTCCGGCAATTATTAAATTATTCAATAGATTAAACATCACACTGTAGATCGAATTTTGTAACTGTCTCTGCTTTTATCCCCCTTATGACTCTAACGAGAGCGCAGTAAGCAAAGCGACGTACCGCTTCTGCGTGTTCCACTAGATCGAGTTCATTCCAGAAACTCGACGTTTCTAATACAGAAGTATACACAGATGTGGATTTGGGGATCTACGACCTTCCCTTCCTCAATTTTGTCTGGACATGAGTCCGTGGAGTATCCTAAGAGAATAATAGTAGCGTCTACATTCTCTTCGGGTCGGAGCGAATTCCTGGGATCGAATTGTAAATTTCTACGGGAAAGCTAAGATTCGATCGTTGGGTCTGCGATGGAGCAGAAATCACCGGGATTAGTTTGATTGTGCTGGGGACATTCCACACACATTCATTACGTTCAATATTCAGAATGAAGTAGAGCACACGGCGCATTCGCACGGTATCAAATAATCGTTTCATTGATTGCAAGAGGAAGACACACTGAATTTTTTAGATGATTCCTATTTTTGCCACAGCTCTTTCAATTCTGAAAAAAATATTTACCATTCCAGCATGTCGCGATTTAGTCGATCCAAGAACAGGAGTGTCGAATTGCCCTTCAGTGTCTAACCTTTGCCGAGACACGAACTATTATAACCTAATGAAACAGCAGTGCCCGAAAACCTGCGGATATTGTACTTGATATAGTTTATACCTAGCAATAAATAGTTTTAGGTAGTAGCTTTGTTACGTAGTAAGAAAAATTCTGTTTCTAATAGCAATTCAGTTGTCCGTGCAGCGTCAGAAGGCAGGAGAAAGACAATTTTCGGTTGGGAAGATTTTTTCCCAGCCAAAAATTTTTCCCGAAAAATAAGATCAATCAGAACAGGAAATAAAATGATCAATAACACAGTTCCTAAATCACATAGTTTGGTTTCAAAAAATCCTTCTGCCTTGTACAATGCTCCCACCAATTGAGCTATTCAAAGTGAAGACAGCTCGCCAACCATGAGAGCCGAGCGCCACATCAGTCCTGCTTGAGATCGAAGAAGGCGACTTAAACTTTTCCAGGGGTAACTTGCAAGTATTAGGTAATGGTACATGTATAACTTCACTCAAAAACGTTCCAGAATGCAGAAAAATGTAGTCAAAAAAATAGTCATAGGCTACCGGAGAACTGCCGTTGAATCCTTCAAGTGGCCGAAGTTCGAATTGAAGTGGTTGAGGCTGTAAAATCCGTAACTCTGTCCAAAGGGTTTTAGAACGCGGAGGAAAGTTAGTCAGAGGTTATGGTAGACTGTGGTCTAATACCCCAAGTGGCGAATTTAAACATGGGTAGTATTGGGTAAGATGAAATGCTCATGGCTCTTTCTTTAACTTTATCTTTATCAAATGCGCTCAAAAGGCGCACTAAAGCTCGAGCCGCAGATTCTGTATGACCTTCATGAAGAAACACAACAAACAACGGTAGAATAACAAACCAGATTTCGAAGAAAACTTGATTTTGTTTCCAAGGGCCAAAGTGAAAGCTCAAGATGTCATAAAACGGGGAAAAGAAAAAAAAAACAGAAGTACTCGAACCTGGGCTCACAGAGATGAGAAGCGAGTGAACATTATTAGTCTCAAAAACAGGTAGAAACAATGCAAATTAAGAGAAAAGAGAAAAAAATGATCAGGCAAGAAAACCTGTAGGACAGTGGGTTCATATTCCACTTTTCAACTTATTTGACCAGAGTTCACTACTGCAGCTTAGGAGAGAACCTTTGATAGTCCATCCACATTGCACAAGATCAGCATTCTTACTGGCTGCAAAGCGCAATATGCAGAGGCTAGGAGAGTACCACGGGTATGCCGCCGAATAAATGTGCTGAGCAACCACAAGTAGGTGGTCCGTATAGGTTCGTGTCATAGATAAGATCAGTGGCGGTTTAATGAGGGAAGAGTGCGATGATCATCGTCCCAAGCACCTGAGTGGACATCACATAACAAAACAAATTACATAACAAAATGAACCACTTGTCCGCTAGGCCTAGAACAGCAGGAGGAGATGTAGTGCTATTACAAGGATATTCCGAACAATACAACATATCAACAATCATACATACGAGCCCAATTTCTTGAAGGGCACAGCTCTTACTCAGTGACTCGGGAACCACTAAGGTCGATCCAGTCGATCCAGCTACCAAATACGATGAAGCAGTACAACATTTTCCAGTGGGTTCATCCGATCACGAGGCCAGAAAACAGATTGACATAGTCCACGAGGGTTGCCACCACAGCATTGACGCATTGACATAGGCGAAGCTCCCTGGCAAAGTCGACGGGAAGGCTCAACCAGAATCACCAGAACGAGCTAGAAATCTGGAATGCCCAAAATATGGAGAAGGTCGATCTCTTTCAATCTTTCACCATATATGGACACACCTTGAGACTCAAAAACACTAGCTGGTAGCACCTGCAGCAATTTCGCACCGCGGAAAAACAGTGAGTTAGTGACCACTAGCTGCTGTCTTCTATTGCTCGTACACAGCGCAAACCAAGAGTGCTACTACGATCTTGACATGGTAGAAAATGTCCAATATTTACTAGCTCTCAACTTGGTTTCATTTCTGAGTATTTTGAAACAGAAAACCAGATCGGAAAACAATCGTCGATAAAGCAG